CAGTCAACGACTACTGTAATTAAAGATTCCTCAACAAAATTGAAATTCATGTTTGAAGTCCGCAAACCAATATAAATAGAGCCATTCTTAGAGTAGTAACGAAACGTTTAGAAATAGTTTTAGTTTACTAAAAAAAATTGTAGTATCAGTGGTCTTGAAGCAATTGCTGAATAAAAAGTTTAGTCAATTATCAAGTAAGATCTTTTCATATAATCTCTTTGTGTCATTATAATCTCATTTTACCTAAGTGTTTCTTATTTATTTCATGAAAGTTTTATCTTTTCTTTTTTAGTACTAATGAAATTCCGATCTAAAATCAAACGGATGCTAAAAATAATATATTCATGACTAAATGATTACTGCTTGATATATTAAGAATGAAATTAGAATTCTTGTGCGCAGTGAGTAAGGGTCTAGCCTTTGTGGTTCATGTTCAGTTGAGTTACCATGATTTACATCCTCCCAAATGCTCTGTTGGGTCAGGGTGTGGGGTCCCTTAGGGATGGGATTCAGCCTTCGGAAGAAGAATAAAATTAGAATTTCAATTAATTAAGTATGATGGAAATAGATTTGCATATCTATATTTACATGTTTTGCAAGATATGAAAATAATAAAGATGAAATGTTACACACATATATATAATATGTGGGATAATCATGTATGATCTATTGATTTACAATAATTAAGGGGTAAAAACTAAGTGGAAAATGAAAAAATAAAAATAAAATTGATGATTGTATTTTTGTAATTATTATGACACATGCAAAATTTCACAATACATTCACAGATTTGTTACCGAGCATCCAACTTAAATGCACTTTCATATATTATGAGCGTACTGTCACATATTAACAACTTTAAATTTTATCTAGTGCATCATAATAATCATATTTTTTTAATTTTTCCTACCATTGACCAATCAAAATGGAAGGATGTTTTTTTTTTAATACATAATAATCATATTTTTTTAATTTTCCCTACCATTGACCAATCAAAATGGAAGGATTTTTTTTTTTTAATACTAGACTCTGTTGCACTGTAGTATATGTTCGAATATACTTTCTCAACCTATTGAAACACAAAGAGTCAATACCACCCCCACAAGAGCTTGAACCCATAACCTCCCATTTGGGGAGTCATTTCATGCAACATAACCACAAGGCCATTGGCAATGGACTGATGATATTATTTCACATATTTTTAAAGAAAGAATTGTTATTTTGTGTGTGTGTGTGATTTTTTTTTTTTTTTTGTTTCCTAATTTATATATTTTACGCTTTTTCAGGATTTTCTTTCTTCGGACAGGGTATACTAGGGTGAGCCTTTTTCTTTCTAATCCGCATGACACGTCAATAGAGAAATCGTATTTATCTATCTTTGTTCAAGTTCGTCAAATATATATGTTGTAATTCATTGTATCTTGGAAAATTGACATTTTAACGCTCCTAGCATTATCGGGAGGAAGCAAATCAGTTTTAAGAAAAGTGCAAGTGTCTCACTCATTGGATTAAATTTGTGAAATCGTGACTAGATTTTAAGAATATTTTGTAATTAAAATACTATACAAATCAACAGATGTAAATGATAATTTTTCTCCAAAGCAGATATTTTACATAAAGAAAAGATTCCAGCAAAAGAAAACTAATAGCGCGTCGTTCTGACAAAAAGGAGAGATTCCTGAAAAAAGAATTAAAGTAGTCAACGACTACTGTAATTAAAGATTCCTCAACGAAATTGAAATTCATTTTTTGAAGTCCGGAAACCAATATAAATAGAACCATTCTTAGAGTAGCAACGAAGCGTTTAGAAATAGTTTTAGTTTACTGCGAAAAAAAAATGTAGTATCAGTGGTCTTGAAGCAATTGCTGAATAAAAAGTTTAGTCAATTATCAAGTAAGATCTTTTCATATAATCTCTTGTGTCATTATAATCTCATTTTACCTAACTGTTTCTTATGTATTTCATGAAAGTTTTATCTTTTCTTTTTTAGTAGTAATAAAAGTCCGATCTAAAATCAAACGAATGCTAAAAATAATATATTCATGACTAAATGATTACTACTTGATATATTAAGAATAAAATTAGAATTTCAATTAATTAAGTATGATGGAAATAAATTTGCATATATATATTTACATGTTTTGCAAGATATGAAAATAATAAAGATGAAATGTTACACACACGCATATATATATATATATATATATATATATATATATATATATATATATATATATATATATATAAAATATGTGGGATAATCACATATGATCTATGGATTTAAAATAATTAAGGGTTAAAAACTAAGTGGAGAATGGAAAAAAATTTGTTACCGAGCATCCAACTTAAATGCAATTTCATATATTATGAGAATATTGTCGTATATTATGAGCATATTGTCGCATATTAGCTACTTTAAGTTTTATCTAGTGCATCATAATAATCATATTTTTTTTAATTTTCCCTACCATTGACCAATCAAAATGGAAGGATGTTTTTTGTTTTTCTTTAAGTTTTATCTAGTGCATCATAATAATCATTTTTTTTTTTTAATTTTCCTTACCATTGACCAATCAAAATGGAAGGATGCTTTTTGTTTTTTTTCTTAATACTACTGACTCTGCATTGTAGTATCTGTTCAAATATACTTTATCACTGGAACTTGAACCCATGACCTCCCATTTGGGGGAGTCATTTCATGCAACTTGACCACAAGGCCATTGGCAATGGACCGATGATATTATTTCACATATTTTTAAAGAAAGAATTGTTCTTTTGTGCGTGTGTGTGAGATTTCTTTTTTGTTTCCTAATTTATATATTTTACGCTTTTCAGGATTTTCTTTTTACGGACAGGATATACTAGGGTGAGCATTTTCCTTTCTAATTCGCATGACACGTCAATAGAGAAATCGTATTTGTCTATATATTTAATGACATGTCGATAGAGAAATCGTATTTTTCCTAATTAAAAACACTTCTAAATGCATAATTATTACACTATAATAATAATAATAATAATGATAATAATAATTTATACAATTGTATATCGGTCTAAATATTTTTAAAATATTATAACAAATTCATTCCGTGCAACGCACGGGCAAATACTAATTTTACATAATGAAAAGATTCCCAACAAAGAAAATTAATTAATAGCGCGTCGTTCTAACAAAAAGGAGAGATTCCTGAAAAAAGAATTAAAGCAGTCAACGACTACTGTAATTAAAGATTCCTCAACAAAATTGAAATTCATGTTTGAAGTCCGGAAACGAATATAAATAGAGCCATTCTTAGAGTAGTAACGAAACGTTTAGAAATAGTTTTAGTTTACTAAAAAAAATTGTAGTATCAGTGGCCTTGAAGCAATTGCTGAATAAAAAGTTTAGTCAATTATCAAGTAAGATCTTTTCATATAATCTCTTGTGTCATTCTAATCTCATTTTACCTAACTGTTTCTTATTTATTTCATGAAAGTTTTATCTTTTCTTTTTTAGTACTAATGAAAGTCCGATCTAAAATCAAACGAATGCTAAAAATAATATATTCATGACTAAATGATTACTGCTTGATATATTAAGAATGAAATTAGAATTCTTGTGCGCCGTGAGTAAAGGTCTAGCCTTTGTGGTTCATGTTCAGTTGAGTTACCATGATTTACATCCTCCCAAATGCTCTGTCGGGTCAGGGTGTGGGGTCCCTTATGGTTGGGGTTCAGCCTTTGGAAAAAGAATAAAATTAGAATTTCAATTAATTAAGTATGATGGAAATAGATTTGCATATAATAAAGATGAAATGTTATACACATATATATAATATGTGGGATAATCACATATGATCTATTGATTTACAATAATTAAGGGTTAAAAACTAAGTGGAAAATGAAAAAATAAAAATAAAATTGATGGTTGTATTTTTGTAATTATTATGACACATGCAAAATTTCACAATGCATTCACAGATTTGTTACGGAGCATCCAACTTAAATGCACTTTCATATATTATGAGCGTACTGTCACATATTAGCTACTTTAAGTTTTATCTAGTGCATCATAATAATCATATTTTTTTTAATTTTCCCTACCATTGACCAATCAAAATGGAAGGATGCTTTTTTTTTTTTTTTAATACGTAATAATCATATTTTTTTAATTTTCCCTACCATTGACCAATCAAAATTGAAGGATTTTTTTTTTTTTTAAATACTAGACTCTGTTGCACTGTAGTATATGTTCAAATATACTTTCTCAACCTATTGAAACACAAAGAGTCAATACCACCCCCACTGGAGCTTGAACCCATAATCTCCCATTTGGGGAGTCATTTCATGCAACTTAACCACAAGGCCATTGGCAATGGACCGATGATATTATTTCACATATTTTTAAAGAAAGAATTGTTCTTTTGTGTGTGTGTGATTTTTTTTTTGTTTCCTAATTTATATATTTTACGTTTTTTCAGGATTTTCTTTCTTCGGACAGGGTATACTAGGGTGAGCCTTTTTCTTTCTAATCCGCATGACACGTCAATAGATAAATCGTATTTATCTATATATATGAGCCTTTTTCTTTCTAATCTACATGACACGTCAATAGAGAAATCGTATTTGTCTATATATTTAATGACATGTCGATAGAGAAATCGTATTTTTCCTAATTAAAAATACTTCTACATGCATAATTATTACACTATAATAATAATAATAATAATAATAATGATAATAATAATAATTATTATGATATTATTACTTATTTTAAATTTTATTTTGTTATATATGTAACTTTGGAGTTAGGCGGAGTGAAGAAAGTGCAAAATCACACCGTATTTGAATGGCAAAAGAAGAGTACGAATGGTATGGAACCACGTTGTAATTGTAATTGTAATTGTATCCGTACGCCGCACCGTTCCCCATGAAATATTTTTAAAATTAATTTTTTAGAGTTATTATTATTGAAGAATATGGATACAAGGAGGAGGGAGAGCCCAAAGAGTGCTTTGCGTTCCTTTCCTTGGAGATCAAGGATTGGATTAGATTGGAGGGAATTGGGAAATAAATACGGGCTAGTGTTACACTCCGATTTTCCCTCTTACTGATTAATATACCCTTCCTAATATGCATATGCGTGCGGCATTGATATTATCACTTTAAACCCTCTCCAGGATTGCTAAACCCTCTTCAATGGCGGCTGACTTTGAACAGCAAGTCAATAGAGGGGTCAAAAGGAAGATGGGTGATCACCAACATTGCAAACTTTGCGAAGGGCAAAAAGTTGAGGTAATGGTTTCTGTGGGTTTTTTTTTTTCTTTTTTTTCCTAAAACTTTTTCTTGGTGGTTGAAGAATACGATCTTTATATGTTTATTTGCATATTTTTGTTTGGAGTAGTAAGGGTAAAATTTCTTTTTTGTTTTTGTTTGTTATTTAGTTCTTTAATTTCTAGTTGGCTGAATTTGCCCTGCATTCTGTTCTTGTGATGTGTTTCTCAGTCTATGCTGTAATGGGGATTGATATCTTGGTTGCATGCGGGTTTTCTTGAATGATCATTCAATTATGGGTATGGAATTTGAGGGATCGGAGCAAGCAAAGTTTATTTTCTTGTTTGTGGTTTACTGTACATGCAAAGTGTTAACTTGGGTATCAATGTGGGAAAGAAATTTATGGATGCCTTCAAAATATCTCCTTTTTCAGCCATACTTCAATTTGATTATTGTTTCGATAGGTATTTAGTTTTGGGTTGCATAGAATATGAATTCCCTTTTTTTCCATTTTGGCATCTAATAGTAGCCAAGAATTATGCAGGTAAGGAGTTTAGAAGAAGGGTTCCTGGGTTCATGGCACAGAGGTACAGTGGTTTTGCGGCGAAGAAGAATGTGTCATGTGCAATATGATCACCTTCTATGTGATAATGGATCAGCCAGCTTGGTTGAAGGGGTGCAAATCAGTTCAATGATTGATGGGGTTATGCCTGCTGAAGGGGAGTTTGATAACCATCGTGGTTGGATAAGGCCTTTGCCACCTCCACTTGACATTGGGAAAAGTAGTCTTCATTATGGAGAATGTGTTGATTCGTTTTATCGGGATGCATGGTGGGAAGGTGTGATCTTTGACCATGAAGATGGTTCAGAGAACCGGAGGATATTCTTTCCAGATATGGGTGATGAAATGACAGTATGTGTCAACAAGCTGAGAATCACACGGGACTGGGATGGGGTTACTGAAGAATGGAAACCTCGTGGTAATTGGATCTTCCTTGAATTGGTCAAGGAATTGGAGCAGAAGTATCCCTTTCTAGTCTCAGTAAGGCAAGTCTGGTTTGAAGTACGGGAGAAGAATGGTCACAAAAAGGAGTGGAATTTTCCCATTAGAGATTATTGGAGGGAATTACTGTCCTTGGTTCAACGTGAAAATCTTAAGCATACCAGCAAGCATTTTTTAAGTTTGTTGAACTCTGCAGAAGGGTTTATTCAGGAAAGGCAGTCACCTGAATTTATTGATAAATCTCTTTCCTTGGTACCTAATTCCGAAGCCTCCAGCAATGCAGATGAAACAAGGGTGCTACCTAACGACACTAAGAATTTGGATACATTGATCATGCGGAACCTTGATGAAGTACTATCCCCAACACCTTCTGTACAATCATCTTTACCTCATACTGCAGGTGGAATATGTGGGATGTTGATTCCTTTTAAAAATTCTGAGGTGTCTGGTGAGGAGCTCAAAAACTCGAAAAGGAAATCCAAATTGATGTGGTCTCCCGTTGCCCTTGATGCCGAGTCTTTCCCTGAAGCAATTGCAGAGTTCAAAAGGGTGTCTCTGTCGAATCGTCGACCCCCATTGGACTTACATGTGAAAGTAAGGAAACATCTTTTATATTTGGGATGGAAAGTCGAGTCTGTATATGATGGGATGATTAGGTTTCGCTACTTATCACCTTCTGGAACTGTATTAATGTCACTTCCTCAAGTTTGTAAGGAGTTGGAGACAATGTCAAAAACTCTCTCTGTGGTTCCCGTACATAACCAAAGAAGTGCTGAGGTTTCAACCTCATGTTCATCGATAGGCAAACAAGAAACAGGCAGAGAACTATACGAGCCACCTTCTGCAGAAACAATTATTGATTCTGAGTGCTGCCCTCGAGCAGTGATTAAGTATGTGCGGGTTATGGCTCCAAACAGATTATCCAAAAAGAAACGGCCAGGAGTTGCTATACTTGCAGATAAAGCTAAAAGACATCTAGTTTTTAGTGACTGGAAAATCTATAGTCAGAGGAAGGGAGATAGGACGGAACTTCGCTATATGTCTCCTGCTGGGAAAGTATTCTACTCGCTTATAACAGCCTGTGAATGCTATATCAAGGAGATGAGTGATGCTCAGCTCACAGGGCAAAGGCAGATAAGGCAAGTTGGTGAGGACCATGAACAATTGCTCATCGAGTCAGGTGAAAAGTTGAAAACTTCAGGTTATAGTGGGGGTTCTGGGTGTAGTAAATCGCGCAAGAAGAGAAAGCTCAATTTGTATACATCCAGGGCTTCAATTAGATCAGGAGATGTTGCAGATTCTCATTCTTCAACTCGTGTGCTAAGATCATCAAAAAGAGCTAGGCAGGTTGCTTCTTCCTCTCACCAGACACCTCGCAGCATTTTATCTTGGTTGATCGACAATAATGTGATTCTGCCTCGGACAAAAGTACACTATCGTGGAAGGGAGGATGACCATCCAAAGAGGGAGGGGCGGATAAGTCATGATGGAATAAAATGTATTTGCTGCCAGAAAGTTTACGGTCTTAGTACTTTTGCAGCTCATGCAGGAAGCAGTACTCATTGCTCTTCAAAAAATATCATTTTGGAAGATGGGCGCTCAATACATGAATGCCAACGGGAGATGAAACGGAAAATTAGTGCAAGGAAGACAGAACTGCATATAAAGAAAGGGAGTAAGAGTGACTATGTATGTTCTATCTGTCATGATGGTGGTGAACTAATCCTATGTGATCGGTGTCCATCGGCATTTCATAGTAGCTGCCTCGGATTAAAGGTATTTCTTTTAATAACTGATCTTTTCTGCTTTACTGTTGCTCATGTTCATGTTTTTCGTTTTAAATTAAATTCCATTGCTTAAGCAGGAGCTTCCAGATGGTGATTGGTTCTGTCCTTTGTGCTGCTGTAGAATCTGTTCTCAGACCATATTTGATAAAAACGAAGATCATTTTGCAGATAATAATGCTCTCTACTGTAGTCAATGTGAGCATCAATGTAAGCAAACTCTATCTCTTTTGCACCTTCAAATTGTTGGTTTACTCTAGAGTATACATATTTTAGTTTATTTGCACTTATTGATTTATAAGATGGATTTTTGCAGATCATGTTGCATGTATAAGAAATAATGGTCTTCTAAAGCATCCTAACGGATATTGGTTTTGCAATAATAAATGCGAACAGGTACTCAAAAGCATCTCTTCTCTTCTGTGCATATATGTATGAATCTTGGCATGCTTAAAGTGCTTGATTAATTGTAGAATAGTATAATACTCTTTGATCAGGTTTGGAATCATGAAGAAGATGGTTTGATTTTGTATTAGTTAATAAGTGTTTCAATGGATGCTGACATGTGTTTCTGGTGTTTTTACAATATGTAATATTTGTTTTAAATTCTTTACAGATATTTGGGGATCTTCATAAGCTTTTGGGAAAACCAATTCAGTTGGGGACTGATAACCTTACTTTGACGTTGTTGAAGTACAATGTTGTAGATGACGAACATGCATTAGAGAATTATAGCAAGCTTAATATTGCTATTGATGTGATGCATGAGTGTTTTGAGCCTGTCAAAGAATCTCGAACTGGGAGGGATCTCATGGAAGATATTGTTTTTAGTAGATGGTGAGATTACAAATCCCTTGCTGCCTGCTTTGACTAACTATAGTTTAACTGTTATCATTCTTTCTAGTTTGATCCTATCATGAAATAGCTTCATTACTCTTAATATGAATTTCATGCATTAATGGTATTTCTGTTTTGTTTTCACTTGTATTTTAGAGACATTGGTTTTTTACTCCTTGCCTAATGGTAAGCATCTCACATTCAGGTCTGAACTCAACCGTTTGAATTTTCAAGGATTCTATACTGTGATTTTGGAGAGAAATGAAGAATTGATTACAGTGGCCACTCTAAGGTATTCCAGTCATGATGTTAAGCTTTTTAAATCTTGCAGCTCTTGTGGATTTTATTTTCCTCGGTTTTGTATTTAGCCAGGTCTTTCCCATCATGCTTTCCATTGACTAACCTGAAATGCCTTAATTGTCATCTCAAGGGTTCATGGAGACAAGGTAGCTGAGATCCCACTTGTTGCCACACGTTTTCAATATCGTCGACTTGGAATGTGTCGCATTTTGATGAATGTTCTTGAGAAGGTAAACCCCCCTCCCTCCTTTCTTTAAAGTTCTGCTTGGGGCTACTGGGATTCTGTTTGTATACATTAAAGCCAATGAGATATACACGTAGATGTGTAACACCGGTACTTGTTTAGTTATAACTTATATTTGTTTTATAAGGTGCTGAAACGGTGTGCTTATTTGCTTCCAGAAACTCAGTGAATTAGGAGTCGAGAAGCTAGTTCTGCCAGCTGCTACTAGCGTGCTAAACACATGGATAAGTTCATTTGGTTTCTCTGTGATGGAAGAATCAACGCGACTAGATCTCTCGGGTTTCAATATACTTAATTTCCATGGAACAGTCATGTGCCAGAAACCCTTAGTCAGAACCACCTCCCCTTCCATGGAATTAATTGTCTCAACAGCAGCAGCAGGTTAACTGAATTCTCAACCTCGAGGCTGGCTATATATATATAGGGTCAGGTTACTGTGAGAACAGGTCTTCCCGTGCGGTCAGTGCGGCATACACCATTAGGTATGCATAAATGCACCACACAGTGTTCGAAAATACACCATTATGTGTGGTGTAATTTTTTTTGTGTGGTGCATTTTTTGGCATTTCATTCTGGTGTATTCTCGAACACTGTATGGTGCATTTATGCATACCTAATGGTGTATGCCGCATTGACCGCACGGGAAGACCTGTTCTCACAAGAACCAAAATCTATATATATTCCCGAAATTGACTTTGGATGTACTTTTGCAGAACCCAACCAACATATTTTTGGAGCAGTGGCCAAAAAGGGCAACGCCGAACTGGATGGGACGACAAGTGCTGTTTCTGAGGTCCTCCAAGCTGAACAAATCGATGGAAGTGACATTATAGACAAAGGACCAGCAGAGTATGTTTCTACCCTCTTTTGCTTATTTTTACATCTGAATTGGAAGTGAATTCCTCGGGATTTTGACCATTTCCTTTCTATCCCTTTTCTCAGAACGCCTGGAGGAACTGGCACCAACGACCACCCGGCTCCCTTAGTTCTTATGGTACTGTGCTATTGCCTAAAACCGTTATCTACTTTTGTTGATCTATCATATTATCAGTATCGTTAATTTAAATTTTGTTTATGCACAGTTGAAAGAAACTCCAGACTTCCCAGCTCAAAATACTTTGGATTGCTCAGGTGAAGAAGCGGCTGATAAAAGGGAGGCCGGAAACAACAACGCTGTTGGTATATTCAAATGCTATGAGAGGAGGAGAAGATATGAGGCTGTGGAAGCCAATCTGTTGAGAAAGGTGGTGACTGATGGTTAAGTTAGTTGAAGAAAGTTTTGATTCTTAATCTGTAAACATCTTGTAAATGGTACATAGTAGTCTAAGGTGGGGGTGGGGGGGACTAAGCTAGAGCCTAGAGGAGCTGTCTCTATGTCCAATAACTCATGTTTATGTACAGTTTAAGGTTGTTGTGATCCTTCAGCTGATTTTGATCTTTTTTGTGGGTGTACAAAGGTTTTGGCTGGAGGTACAAGTCATGAATCAAGTCTTTGTGGATTCTCAAAAATCAGGCTTAGTTTGCACTTTAAATGCACCATCCCATGACAAAGCCCATCCCTATTTACTCGCTATTATTACATTTATTTATTACTTGTAAGTTTTTTGTGGTTCCTTTGCAAGTACGGAGTAATATTTAAAATTAAAAAAAAAAAAAAGAAAAAATACAAATAGCCTATTGAACTATTTAGGGGATAGCAATCAAGCTACCGCCACTGAACTTGAATAAGTTCCATTCAAGTTCCAAATTCATCTATGAATTTGAAAAAAAAAAAAAAGTTCCAAATTCATCTATGAATCTGAAAAAAAAAAAAAAAAGTAATTAATATTTTTAGCAGAGATTAACGACAGATTTGCACTGATTGAGATGACATATGTATTTATACTTTTTTTTATTATCATACTTAGACTACATGTAAGCATTTGACATTTTGAAGTCAAAATTTAAATTCTAATTTAAAAAAAAAAAAAAAAAAAAAAAAAAAAAAAAAAAAAAAAAAAAAAAAAACTGGGCAGTTAGAAGAATAGCAATACAGTTTACAGCAGCAAATCCAGCAATTCCCAACAATAACCAATAACCTATTTACTCAATTAAGCAATTAAGCATACACAATAACATTAATACATTCCAAATCTTTAAATGAATTAAATCTAACAGTATAAAAACCTGGTTGGAGTAACTGCTGCGACGACGACAAGCGAGGCAATCAGACAAGATAACGAGGAAGACCCTGAGCTGTACTATTGTTCGTTCTGCTCATTGTGTTGTTTGTTGTTTTTTCGAGGAGTTCAAGTTTGGTGGCTTAATTGCTATCCCCAAATAGTTCAATGATCTATTTGTACATTTTCTCTAAAAAAAAAAATAAGGGAGAGCGTGTGCCTATTGGGCAACTTGTGTGCGAACATTGTGCGTCTTTTATTCTTTTTATCTCATACCCCTTCCTTCTCTCTCCTCCAATACTGTGCGTTTATGCATCTATTGGGTAAATACTATTGACTCTTCTCCTCTAATAGCGTGCGTCTATGCATCTATTGGGCTATTGGGTTGTTGGAAAATATGCACAACGTCAACGCGCGGGCTAGAAAGAAACCTTTTAAGAAACAAGGACACAACGAGTACCTATTAAGAAACAAGGACACAACGAATATATGACTTGTAAGAAAGTCTGTGCCGTGTTATAATAACACTACTTTAAAAACGTCATTTGTCCGGTGACGGTACAGTCAAAATAAATCAGTACACTTTCGACAGGCAACACAGAATAACCACGCTAAGCTCGCACCAGCTTAAACGTAGCCGAACCTCACTATAATGTTTTCCTTGGTGTATTTAAACTCAAGGCAAAACCCTGTTTAAATAAAAGAGGCCAAGCGATTTAGGCCTCATATTATTTAAAGGACCTTAACCACTCATTAATTTGTGGTAAATGTTAAATCATGATTTAACATGAACCACATAATTAATGAGTGACTTGCATTTTTTCCCAACATGGGTAAATACTATTGACTCTTTTATACTTTCTCTAACTACTGCAGTCCAAAGAGTCAATATTCCACCACCGGAGTTCGATTTTGTGATCTCCCCTCGAGGGGAGCCACAAAGGTGCCATTTGAGCACAAAGTGCTTGGCCAGTTGGCCAACGTCTATTGGATACCTTATGTGCTTACATTGTGCCTTTTTTCTTCTTTTATGTGCTTTTAATTTTTTTTTTTTAGATCAACGGAGGAGGGGTGACCTCATTTAGTGGTCGCTAGTAACTCTACGAACCGTCGGATCTCAAAAAATATCTCCTTTACAATCTCAAGCCCAATCATAAGCACATTATTAGCCGGTTGATCAAAGACAATCAACCCTCAATCAAGCGTGATGGCTTCCTTCGCCAAAAAATTAGCTGCTCGGTTCTGCTCTCAATATGCATGCAAAGCTCAGGGAGTCAAGGGAGAGCTCTATTTGTTTTGATTATTAAGCTAATCGATCACTTTTGATTCCTCAATTATTTTTCATTTCTCACATTTAATCCCTAACTATTAATTTTTTTTATAGTTGATGAACGTATGCTTTTGTTGCCACATTTGCAACAAAAATTTACTTGTGCACAAAATGTGAGAAAAAAAATTAATAATTAAGAATTAAATGTGAGAAGTGAATAATAGTTGAATGACAAAAATAGCAATGAGTTAATACCCAAAATTGTCATCGACTATAGTGATTTTTCTCAATTTCGTCCTAAACGACTTTGGTGACCTAATATCGTCCCAGACTTTTGTGTTTCGCTCAATTTAGTCCTCCATTTGTTATTCCGTCAAATTGGTGTTAAATAAAGGGACAATTCAGTATGTCAATATTGATCTCTCTTTACTTTCAACTTATGAAGTGCGAAATTCCTCTTTCTTGTACGAATTACACCCAGAATTACTCCCAGACCTGCAAATCAAATTTTATATTCGCAGTTTTAGGAGTAATTCTGGGAGTAATTCGTAAAAAAAAAAGGATTTCGCAGTTCACACGTCTATGAGTAAAGAGATGCCAATATTAAAATTACTGAATTGTCTATTTATTTAACACCAAATGGACAGAATAACAAATGAAGGACTAAATTGAGCAAAAACACAAAAGTCTGTGACTAAATTGAGCGAAACACAAAAGTCTGGGACGATATTAGGTCTCCAAAGTCGTTTAGGACGAAATTGAGAAAAACCACTATAGTCGAGGACGATTTTGGGTATTAACTCAAATAGCAATAGTTACTTGTTGGTCACCAATAATAACAAGTACTCCGTATAATAGTGACAAATGTGTGAAATTATTAAATTTTAAGAAGTTTTACTATTCATTTAAAATTTTCCTTCCTAGGAACTAATTGGGGGCAAATTATGTCGTGGATACATGCTCGCCTTGCAAGGTGGGCGCAGTTTCAAAACGGCGTTGTTTTCATAAACGAAAACAACGCCGTTTTAATTTTTTTAAAAAAAATTATTTTTCACTTGTCGTTAACGGCGTTTCTCTCTTTGTAATCGCATAGTTTAGAAATTATGATTCTACTGTATTTATATTATGAATCTACAGTATATAAATTCTGAATCTACAGTATAGAAATTATGAATCTACAGTATTAAGTTTGTGAACATGTGATAGAGCTATATGTTCATAATTTTATAAATATATGTTCATAATTATAGAGCTATATGTTCATAATTTTCGATGTTTATATATCCAATTGTTGAACTTTGTTTTCACAAATCACAGAACTATATATCATAATTTGATAACTATACAGTTAGAAATTATGAATCTACAGTACATAAATTATGAATCTACAGTACAGATATTATGAATCTGCAATATAGAAATTATGAATCTACTGTATAGAAATTATGAATCTACTATATTTAAATTATGAATCTACAGTTTAGGAATTATGAGTCTACAATATAGAAATTATGAATATCTACAACCGTATCCACCTTGTAAGGTGGGCACGGTTCCACAGCATAACGCTCCGTAATTGGGTAGGTTGGACTCGTTTAACCCGAGTTTTGACAATCCAAGCAAGCATTTTTCAACCTGAGTATAACCCACGGGCCAACTCATATAACCCATCCCATCCCAAATTTATTTAAATATATTTTGTGTAATTAAAATTTGAATTCATGTTTAACATTAATGTTTACTACAAGAATTGAATCCCTAACCTTTCAATTATTATTCTAACAGTATGAACCAACTATACTAATGACATTCATTTATTTAAGTCATTCATATATATATATATATATATATATATATATATATATATATATATATATATACATAGATTTTGAATCCAGTGCACCCCCATTGCCAGATGCGTTCGTGAGCCCTTATGCTGTCCGTTTAATTTTTATATTCAACGGTTCAGATTTGGTGATGGATCTGCCCACGTGCTCTTGGTTTCTATCTAGATAGGGGTTGTTTTGTACTTTCTCAGTGGGGTTAATTATGACATAGTTGTAATGTCGCCGATTTTGTTGCGTGTGTTAGTAGATATTTTAGGAATGACTATCAATTTATCGTTCCTTTCCGTCGTTTCTTAGAGTAGTGTGTCAAATACCGGCCTTTTGTCTTCCATTGGCGTCTTCTCTTTCTTGCGCAGAGTTCATCCGCGTAGTCTCCATGGCTGGGTCGAGCATCAGGAGGTCGAAGCAGCTAAGGAGCATCTCGTCGGGTTCCATATCAGGTATTCCCGTTGATCTATTCGTTTTTTTTGTGGTATTTTTTGTTCAGTTCTCGGTTGGTTTTTGTTCTGATCTGAAAGTTTTTGGGTTTTCATTCTCGGAGGTGTGTTTTTCGTGCTTCTTAGTGTAGGTTTCTGTGTTTTTTTTTGGGGGCGGGGGTGGTTTCCACCTAGTTTCTGTGTTTTTTTTTTTGGGGGGGGGGGGGGGGGGGTGGTTTCCACCAGATTCTCTCTCTCTCTACCTATTTGGGAACAAGGGTTGCCAGATTCAAATTTGTTTCACCACACCCCTCATCAGCATCTAGGAATGGTAAGTTCATCTACCCTCTTGAATTTCATTGTACACTGGGAATGGATTAGTGAATATAGTTATATAGTAGAGAGGCTAACAAACCACGCTCTCTTTTTCTTTATCTAAACCATTAAAGTATACTTCAATTCTTCATATGCCAAATCATAGAGTGAAATATATATTATAATACCCTGAACTTATATGCAGTTGTTTGTAAATAGAATTCAAGAGGTTTATCTTTCTTCTTGGACATACTGTAATTGAAATTATTTACCAATGCAGGAATGGGAAAAATCAATGAGTTAAGAATTAACATGGTTAGACTTCACCAGAGGATGGACAATATGCAAATGATGCTAGAAGCATGCATGGAAATGCAAGTTGAAATGGTGTGTGTGCATAGTCGTTGCACATATTTATTTATGCATGTTCGTAATGTAATCCTTCAGCGTAATATATACATTTAACTCTAGCCTCTATTTACTTTTTTTACTTGTTATCTTTCTTTAGTTTAATTGTTCTTCGTA